AGGAGTCTTAGGAAAATGACTGTCTCAAAAGTAGCTGTGAGGATGCCATCAAAGACGTGTGAGCTCAGGCTGGGCTTTTCTTCCAGAGCGTGTCCCTGCTCTTGAGGATGGGCAGTTGCTGGTGGCTGTGAGGCTTTCTGAGGACTGGGAGAACGTGCCCAGGACAGCCTGTTGCCATGTGAAACTCACTTGGGTTGGTATGCATGCAGTCACAAGATGTGCTTTCAGAACCAGGCTGCCAGTCCCTCGCCAGCCCTCTGGGAATTTCTCCTTGCAAACGTTTGCTGCTTTGGCAGCAATTAGGTGAGAGAATGATCCAGGGTTTCTCCTGAATCTGTTGCATCTGTATGTGCTTAACATTTATTAACTTGAGCAGAAAGAGCAGAATCCACTAAGGCAGGCAGTGTACATCTTGCAGTGTGTGTTTGTGGTAGTTTGCTTCTTGCTTCTCTGTTTGATTTCAGGGAAGCTGGCCACTGCCAGGTGAGCACCTAGAGCCGCTGTAAGCCTAGAAACTGGGTGTAAGCCTTACACTCGCTGAGTCACTGCCCAGGCTCTCAGAATACAGGTGCCTATTGGAGGGAGGATTATCTTGATGTTTTTCTCTCTTAATAATATATTTTAACTTGTAGAGAAAAGGCTGGATGTATTCTATGATCCACATTTCCAGAAAGGCAGCAGCTTTGTAATTTTGGCTGCAAATAAGCGCACAACTAGCAAGCAGATGGCAGTGAGTGCCCAAGGAGGCTGTGTCTGGATGGTATTAGGATGAACAGGTTGTCATGTTCTGGTGCCATAGACTCGTTAAATAGCGTGTGTAACTCCAAGCAAACCAGCATTTCACAGTAACCTCACAAAAAACAAGGGAGGGCCCGAAGGCTTCGTGTAGTATCTCCCATACAATCTCTGTGCCTAAATGTGCATCACCTCCCTGCTCCCTTGAGGGAAGGAGGTAGAGCAAGTAAAAACAGTGAGGACTCCAGGAGGTTTCAAATGGCTGAGTGCACAGTGGCAACGATCGGCTTGGCAATAATGCTCTTGCCTTCATGTCACAAGATCCTGGTGTACAGCCAAGGAGGGAACCGCCAGAAGAGAGCAGAGAAAAGCCGGGATCCCATCGGTTGATCCAGGCCAGGACTGGTCTTAAAGCATAGGAGGAAATCGTATGTTTAGGTATTTCTGTTCCTTCCGTAGCTCCTAACAAAGGGAGGTGGGATTCTGGCTTTGAGGAGACCAGCTGGTGACAGCAGTAGCTAATGAAGTGAACTGTTGGTTGTGCCCTTTTTGTCCCTCGCAATATGGCTTGTGATCCTGTTTTAAGGGCGTTACACCTACTGCCCAACTTTAGCACAGAGCTAGATGTCTCTCAGAACATGCTTTGTAGGTCTGCTCTTATTTCCTAGGCCTTTTTATAGACTACAGATTTACCAAGAAAATGAAAGAGAGCCAAGAGTCACGCTAGTTGTGTAACAGTTAAGCTCTTAGGAGATGTGGATGCATGGTTGGTACCAAAAGCCCAGCACAAGAACAAGACATCTAACAAAAAACAGAGACTAAAAGACAGCTGGTTGTTGTATTCCACGGGCATTTCATTAGTTATGCAGCAGGAAGGAAATAGTTTGTGCTCCAAAAAGCTCTAGCAAGGCTTATTTTCACCTTCTCCTCCCCTTTGCCTTCTCCACTCAAATAAAAATCTTCAAATGTGCTTTTGAAAAAGCAAAATATAACCCATTATTGCTTTTCACTAAACAGCTTAAAGAATACAAGGGTGGTTCAGACTCTTGAGAGACTGTATTTTCTGTCAGTAATGCAAACAATCATCACAGATCGATATATATAGTTCACAGAGTCTCGTAGATCTGCCAAAATGAGGTCACTCCTGTGGTTTGGGATTTTAGCAGTTGTTTATAAGCAGCTGACACAGCCTATAGCAAGAACTAGTTTCTGGGTTTTTACTGCCTCTCAATTCTGGTTTGGCTTGGAGTTTTCAGTCTGTAGTGCAAGAGGAAAGGAAGGTCTGAAGGGGAAGACCTGGGCTGATGTCTCTTCTGTGGAAGACACCAGCGGCCGCTTCAGAAGGAAGCGCATCAAGGACCTTGGCTGGAAGGAAATGGCTGCACTGATGGTGATGACTTTGATTTCCTGCCCCAGCTAGTAGCTGAAGGACCTCTGACACACAGCTCCTGTTTTTCCATGGTCACTTTTGGGGTGAAGTACCTCTGTGTGACAGGGGGAAGGAAGTAAGAAGAGCTTGCTTCTATTTCAGGACATGGTGAAGGGAAACTTAGTGTGCTTTATTTCCTTTGAGATTTGTGGTTAAAGTAGGAGTGCCTCCCCTGCCATGGGCAAGGACCTTTTCCATTACCTTTACAAATGGCTGTGGCGTCTCAGGTGTGAAGATATTTCATGCAGCTGGTGTTGAAGAGGTGTAGCCAGCTGTTTGCTGGAAAAATGCATCATTGTTCTACTTATGTCCCATTTTGTATCAGGGATTTTTAGCCACTTCCCAAACGATCACCATTTCCTCACACATCTTCCTTTACTCATAAGGCTTCATCTTCCTCAGTTTTATATTCTGTATGCCAGAGCCCTTTTCTGCTTTTTCAGCCTTAAACTCCTTGTCTTTATAGCGTGACGTGTAACGTCTTATTCATTATTTTGTTCTGTCAGTCACATCTGGTCTAGGATGTTTCCCATAGGTATAAACTAGATAATTCCAGTTTATTTTTTAAAAATCATTGAAATGTAAACAAAAGCTGTCTTCACACTGCTGGGTGTTCAATTAATTGAATGTAAAGCTTACATTTGAAGGGTGGTGTTTCAGTGCAAAACAGCTCAAAAATACTCCTTTAAATAGAATTCTATGAAATATGTAATGTAGAAAAGTTCATGTAAAGATGTTATTTTTTTTAGCTAAATGAGGCATTTGTGCATCAGCCTCAAAAGGGCTCTAGAGCAGCAAAGTGCTGACATAGTTAAGAGGCAGCAAATGAATACAAAAGCTTCAGAAAATAAAAATCTCTAAATTTATTGACTGCTCACCCATTTTTGGGCTGAGTTAGCAAGGATGTGTAGCTGTGTTAGGGGCCCTGGAGGGCTGACACTTGGCTGTGAGAAACAGAGGTGGCTCCAGCTTCCAGGATGGGATGCAGGTGTTTCACTTGAGGACTGCTCAGAGTGGGATTTCGACAGTGTGAGAGCCTTGTTAAAATCTTCAGGAGAGCTGAAGGTGATCTGTAAATGCAATGTCTTGGAGAATATTTTTTGGTACAGAATCAAAGAGATCACAGCTCATTGATGAGATGGCTTCTAAGATGTGCTTGCTTTGCTGAGAAGGTCATAGGTTGTTTTGGATGAGTCTTTGCTCTCACAGAAAGATCCATCATCTTCACCAGAAGACTTTTCTGCCCTGCTTCCTTGCAGACACTTGCAAGTGCTTCCTTCAAGCCCAAACTTTGTGTTATTTTGCTGGAAAGAAGCTGCAGTTTCCGAAAGTCATAGCAGGCCCTTTATCTGTTTTACATGCATTGCAAATTCTCTTGTCTTCCTTTGTCTGTGTACTGGGGACTTCCTGCACCAGTTGAGCCCTTGAGATAACAAAGGAGAACGTCCACAGAATCAGCAGCCACCTTCTCAGAAAACTTGTTTATGCTTGATAGCAAGGTAATACTTCCAAAACATTTCCTCAGTGTGATAAATGGTGCACCAGATGAAAGTCCACCCTGACTAAGCTCAGGGAGTATCACTCTCAAGGTATTCCTGACATGCTGCGTTTACTGTTGCGCTTTCTTTTGTTTCTGGGTGATTAACTGTACATCATAAGGTATTTCTCTCTCAGCCAGGTGCTCATTCATAGGCCATCAGCTGTGTGGTTCTGACTGTGAACACCATGGGAGAGTTCTTTGCAAATTACCTGTTTGAGTGGGAACTGCTGTCTTAGCAGTATTTAGGCCAGCGAGGAAATATGTGTCACTTGCAAGTAGAAGGTTTAGAAACAGTAACACTGTTGTGGTTTTTGAAGTCCTGGGATTAGTCTGGTGGGTCTCGTAAATGTGACTGTGAGGGTTCCTTTGTCTCTGATCACAACTTGTCTTTTCTAGGCACAGCTGGAAGCTCAGAGGGCAACTCAGGATTTTCAGAGGGCCACTGAAGTGCTGCGTGCTGCAAAAGAGACCATTTCACTTGCTGAGCAGAGGCTACTGGAAGATGACAAGCGTCAGTTTGACTCTGCCTGGCAAGAGATGCTCAACCATGCCACTCAGAGAGTAAGCAGTTGTCTTTTCCATATTTTGTGTTCTCCTCTGGTGTATGAGGCTTAGTTTCTGAAAGACCTAATTTTCATATTGGTCCAGATACGTGACAGGTAGGAAATGAAGCTACAGAAAATTATGATGCCCAAGGTTAAATGATTTGGGCCTTGGGCTGCTACTGGGACATAGTTCCCTATCTGGCTGTGCTAGCAGCTAGTGGAGTAGGTCTCTAAATTAAAAAACCCTTCCATCTATATCATAGGGGTAAACAATGTCTTAAGGCATGTCTGCGTTTGGAGTCATGCCAGAATACTTCCATAGGAATGGCTGTTCTGGAATACATATATTATGGAAACTCTTGCTCTGGAAAAACGGGGACACGTTCCAGTTTAGGGATAGCCTGTTCTAAGTATGAAGTAAGTTGAACAAGGCACTTAGCTTTGGAAACAAGTATTTAATGCAGAATTACTCAAAACTGCTTATTGCACTTTAGGTTTGCACGCTGCTCTGTCCAGAATTAACTTTCAAATTTAAACAAGCTCTTACCTCCATTGTAAAGCCTTTGAAAGTCTACAGAAGAAATGCACCATCTAACAATGAGAGCCAGCATTCATTTTAGCTGCTCTCAGGAAGAATTTTCCTGTCATTTGCCATATCTCTTTTTTCTGTCTGGTGGGGGAAAAAAAAAAAAAAAAAAAGGCAGAAGGTTTTTTTTTTTAACATGAAAGAAACAAAAATCAAATTTAAAAACCTTTGTTCTGTCAGAGCTCCCTTAATATGCCAGTGAAGCTGAACTTGCTACTCCAAATATGCTGGCATGCCATACAAAGTTGGTATTGTCTTGCAGTCCTCGATGCAGTAGCTCTATTCTTTTGCAGAAGCTTCTCAGTTATAAGAAAGCCTCTGTCTCAGAGTGATTTGTGAAAACCAGCTGCCTTATGAAGAAACAGGGAATAAGGATGTTGGCAGTGGGACAAGGAGAGGTGGAAAGCCTGGTCTGTGTTAACAGAGAGAAGACAAGCTCCGGTGTATTGTTTGTGTTACTGTCCCTGTTACCACTGGGTGTTTGCAGCTCTGGTAACCTCTGGGTGTTTCTGAAGGGAGCTCCACCTTGGCAGCACGTGTGCACCAGGGCGCCAGCTGCTGGCCTCTTCTCCAGTGGCCACTTCTGTTCAGTACGAGCAAAGTCCAAAAATGCATACCCAGTTTCTGATTCTCAGAATAGGTAGGTGAGAAAACTGGAAGCTTCTAAGGAGTTGCTAAGAGCTAGTTACACAGCTCTTCCTGATGCTCAAAATAGCCTGGATAAGCCCAGTTCCCAGAAAGCACCTTGCCAGGGTACAGCAGATTTTTAAAGGATTATGTGCAAGTTTGTCTCATGATTTTCATTGGCTGTGCTGGAGGTCTTGAGGCTGGAGCCAGAGACAAGGAAGGTGAAAATGCTGCAGGAAGTCCTGACTGAACAGACCCAGCATTAGTTCATTTGTGTTGCTTGACTGAGTTTTAGAACTTTTTTAGGAGCAGAGTGAATACTGCGTGGGTTTCAGTGCATGCAGTTAGTGAAGTGCTTAGTGTTTGGTGAGGTAAATGGAATAACTGGGGTCTCAAGGACCAGAAAAAAATCATCCTCTACCAAGCTGTGAGTGAAAACCAGCTGGAGGATGAGATAGAACAAAAGTTCTCCTTGACTGCCACACTGTTGCTCTTAACTCAGATTGTTAACTATTAATTACATTAGAAATTACTCAAGGAAAAAAAAACTGTTTCTGAGGGTAAAGGCTGAGGGTTTAGAAATACAGTTCCCCTACTCCCACAGACAAAATCACTCGGAGAAGGTTTTACACTCTAGTGGTTTGGATTTGCTAGTTTTTTGCAGGTATTTATAAATGACTCTTGTACTGGGCAGAGAATAATCTTGCACTGGGCCTTGTACCACAATGAATCAAGTGCAGAAAAGCACCTCTGTGCCAAATGTTAGAAGTGGGCTACTAGTCAATTTCTCTATGGATAGACATGTCAGACAAGAGTGGAGGGGTTTTATTTGCTATTCTTAGGTAGAGGTAGCAGACTCTGTTGAATTAATCTGGAATTTGGAACAAAACGAAGCCCTGTAGCAGCTTGGTGGGTGGCAAACTCTGGGAACAGAGGAGACCCTGGTGTTTCATACAGCCTGCAGGGAAACGCGGGCGGGTTGCCTTTGCCACTGACCCAGCAGACAGAGACTGGTGCTGCCGGGCACCAGCAGGAACCTCTCCCTGGGAGGAAAGGGACCAGGCTTGCACATTGTGCTGCGTTCTCGCTTCTTCATAGGCCAAAGAGCCACTTTAATGTGGCAGTTCAGTGGGATACTGTGACCAGAGCTTTTGTAGCCCATGATACAGAAAATCTTATAGTGAAACTGATGAGAAATGGGAGAATTACTGAAATTTTGCTTATCCTGAGTGGTCTGGAAGCATGACCTGTGGAAGATGTTTTTATTTGCGGAGCAGACAGGGCCAGCATGACTAGGTGCAGGGACAAGAGGCTGTCACTCCACAGTTCTTCCCCTTGCAGTTAGAGCTGTTCCCAGAGGAAGCTGGGTGCCTGAGCAGGAGCTGGATGCCTGCCTGCAGAGATGAACGAAGCCCTGTAAAAGTCTGTGCTTGAGCCTATGAGATGACCACAGTGAAGCACAGGACTGTGATGTGATGCAGTCAGGCAGCTGCCTGAATTATAATGCTGCAGTTTGAGGTGGAGAGAGAGGGCTCTAAAAGGGCTGAAGGATGGAGAATTTTGGAGGGATGAAGGGGGAAGATCTTCACATTTATACTCCTGTTGAAAATTGTTGATAAATGTGCACAAAAGGAATTGCTGGCAGATGTGTTACCTCAAGTTTAAGACAAGCTGGAGCAGAAAGGAAGATCCTTCATGGATTTCAGGAAAAATTGCTAATTTCTAAATGCCAGTGCAATCTGCAGTCTTAAAAAGGTTCTGCTTTTACAGTCTTCCCTGAGTTATGTTCAGTTCATAAATTCTGGCAGGGAGAAGAAATGTTTTGGCTCTTGATCATGAGACATTTTAAAAAAGGATGGAATGAGGGGAGAGTGAAGAGGGAGGATGCATGCTCCCTCTCAGTTTAATTTGGCTTATGAAGCTCCCTTTGATATTATAATGTGAAGTGCCATCTGTCAGTGTAAGATGTGTGGGTGCTTTTGTGATGTAGAGAGAAGACACACTTCCTGCAGATAGAAATACTTGGAGAGAAGGAGGAGGAAAAGTCTGTGAAAGAAACAACAAAAATACCCACATCCTTCCTTGTCCTAATCATCCTGTCACTTGACCCTGGAAATGCAGAGGTTAAATGCAATCCCTTGTGTTGTTGATTCTGTCCTCGGGTTTACTGATCTTGCATGTCTCTTACCTCTTTTATTTCTAATTTTTCCTCTAGAAAACCCATCGACTTAAAGTTTTAAGAAAGAAACATTTGTCCAGAGTAATTCTCTGACTTGGATGGTCAGCTTTGCTTAATTTCACTGATAAACTTTTCTTTTGCATCTGTTTTGCATTTTTTCTTCTGCATTACTGGAATTTTCCCTGGAGTCCATCTTCGACTTCAGATCGTGCAAATTTTTTTGGGAGAACAAAGCTACTTGTACAGACTTACTCACTAAAAATACATCCTCTGCACCAACCTTCCTTTCTCAGATATGTAGATTGGAAATAGAGGGTAGGGAAGGAGCAAAAAGGAATCGATTGATACCTGTGTTGGGCTTTTTTGGTTTCCAGTAGCTGTAGCCTGTGCTACACAGGAGAATGAGTTCTGCCAGGAAGAGGTGATCTAATAATTAAGGACAAGTGTGAGGTACAGAAATGTCCAATGAATGTGTGGTCATCCTAGAAGTTCAGCCACTGTGGATGTTTCTGTGTAAGAGTACGTCCCCTGCCTGCCCCAAGGGTACAAGTGGCAGGTACAAGGTCAGGAGAAGAGATGTACTTTGAGCAGTCTTAATTTGAAGAAATGCCACCCTGCTGGGAGAGGGAACAGAAACCATGCTGTCGAATGGAACTGGGTGACTTCAACTAGTGCTGCTTTGCTCCTGTCTATTTAGCTGGGTTAAGAGAATGGGTGATCTCAAAATCTGAGGCTCTTCTGAACTTCCTGTAAGAGATATTATGCAAGAAACTACACCTCGGTCATAGTTACCACAGTGTTTCCAAATCTTGACATATGGCTGCTCCTTTCCGGAACAACTTTTAAGTAGGTTCATTGAAAGTGATTTTTTCTATATCCTCATTTTCCTGCCATGAGCTGATTAGAAAGATTATGAAGACGCTGTTAATTAAAATCATAAGAAGCAACCCATTGTGTCTTGCCACTCAGCCTGTGTTTTCCCTCTTGAAGGTCATGGAGGCAGAACAGACCAAAACGAGAAGTGAGTTGGTTCACAAGGAGACTGCAGCCAAATACAATGCTGCCATGGGAAGGATGAAACAGCTGGAGAAGAAGTTGAAAAGAGCCATCAATAAATCAAAGTACGTATTATGTTTGGAGAGGAGTTTGGTGGTGAAGTCTGTGGGAAATACAGATGCTGTGGGGTATTTTGAACTTCTGTAAGTGTGTTGCCCTTTGTGCTTCTGCCTTTGGGCTCCTGTCTGCAGGTGACAGCCTCACAGCGAAACTGGTACTGGTATTAGTCCTTGCCTTTGTCCTTCCAAGTGTCTTTTGAAACACCTGACTTGATAGACAGGTGAGCTAACTGGGATGAGAAGCCTTTCCTGGGCCTATTCTTGTTCTAGTGCCTTGAGTGCTTTGGTGTCGTGTGGCTGGAGAAACAGGCTCGTGGGACTCACGGAGATGCTGCGTAGAGAGCCGTAGAGCTCCGTGTGTGGATGTTTTGCAGCTTAGCATTGTTCACACTTTAGTTCTTATTTTTAGTTAGGAGAGCAAGAAAGCTAGGGACAGAAACCTGAATGGTGTGAGACTGCACCATGGTAGCATGCTGCATGTCAGGCTTGTTTACTGCCTGGTGCTGCCGAAGCAGAGCCGTGTGAGAGCTGTTGTTGGGGAAGGGAGAGCACTTCAGAGAGCAAGTGTCACTAACCAGTGCGGCTGCATTTCATGCGCAGTTTTGCTCTCTTGCAGAAAAGTGAAACAGCTTTTTGCTCAGAACCTGTTTAAAACTTTGTCCCTGTTTATAGCAAATTCTTAATCCTCTTTATATTTCATGGTCACTTTCTTTATGTTTCCAGACTTTAGCTTGTCTAAACAATCTGCTTGCTGTATTTAGCTTTTAATCCCTCCATCTAAAAATGACTTTTTTTTTAAATCGGTCAACTAAAAATCTAAGTTGATCGGTGTTTGCTCAGTTTAAGAAAGATTCCAGGATGTTTGCCGAAACAGCGTAGCAGCATGCCTTAGTAGAATGAGCTGCATGCTGTTTGTCTAGCACTGCACAGGGACTGTGAAAAATGTCAGATCACTAAATGACAGATTCCTCTGGATAAGAGCAATGTCTGAAAATCGATTTGGCTGCTAGGAGTTCCTTCCTTGCAGTAAGATTTATAATAAAGACCCTGGTAAGTTGTCAGTGGGGTCCCATGTGCCTGTTTATAACCATGATGGTGAGCCTTGTGCCCCAGCTGCCTCTTGTGTGATTTGCCTTAGGAGTCTTCATTTCCTTGCTGAAACAACCCTGTTTTCTGTCATTTGCCTCAGAACAAGCTGGGTTTCAGGTGTGTGGAAGGATCCCAGTATCCTCCTCTGTCTCACAGCAGGGCTGACTGTGGCACAGCCATGTAGGTGTAGGGTGTTTTGGAGATCCTTTAATAAGGAGTGTAAAGAAACAGCAATTCTAGTCTAATATGAAAGCAGAGGATGCCTGATGGCACAAACAGGCTTATCGTGGATGTATCCAAAGTCATACTACATAGGGATGTTGGAAAGATCAGTTGTCTCTCAGAGTTGCAATTTTGACATGAAGGAAAACTGAAATTGAGCTGAAAATACCAGTGCTGTCAAGTGGGTACATGAAACGGGGAATTGAGGCTGCTGAATTTGTGGCTTCTTGTATTGTAGGGTGTAACTGGCTCCTAGCTGCTTTTCAGGATGGATTTGAGCCCAGCAAACCGCTCGGCCCTGCTCTCTGGGTGGCGTGGGAGGGTTGGCTGTAACGCCTGGGCCTGTCCACCCGCGTTGTCCGGCGCCCCTCTCTGTAACCTCGTGGGCAGACGTGCTGAATGAGCTGCTCTTCCACGTGCGAGGAGTGAGCTGCGTTCGCTCCTCACTTGAGTCTGGATTAAGATGCTTAAAGCATTACTATTTGCAAGTAAGACTGGGACAGCCTGGGGGAAAGTCATTTAGGTGCTGTGTAAAGTTGGTGAGTGGATGATCATTGAATTGTTTTGCTTTGGTTTTGCTTTTAGTATTGTTTCTGGGTGATTACTTTCTCATAAGCTATGAATGTGCCTACGGCTGCATGTCCCTAAGTTACCAGATCTTCTGGCTCAGGGCCTCTGAGCTGTAGGATAATGAACTCAACTGTGTTAGATGGTTTTTGGAAGTCACTTTCTGCTCCGGTGACTTGGGCAAAATGCCTTTCAGTCTTCATGTCATCTACTTAAAAAGCACTTTGCTCGACTGTGCAGTGTCATGGGCTCAGACAGCTGATGATGCAGGACACCGACTGCCTCAGTGAAGGCTTTGCACGCCCTGCTGTGTCATGAGCCAGGCTTCCATAGCTGCAGGGCCGTGGCTGCAGGGGACACGGTGAGCCGAGGAGACACAGGTCCCTGCGCTGGCAGCACCCAGCTGCTGCCGGCATCCCGCGCCCGGCTGCGAGCTAGCATGGAGGAGCGTGAGCTCCTGTGTGTCAGGCTGCTGGTGTCCTTTTCCTGGCACAAGTGGCATCTCTCTTGTTTGTTACCTGTCAGCGTGCCTGCTCGGACACGTGTTTGTGTGTGTGTGTGTGTGTGCATGCACACGTGTATGAGAGAGAGTAGCTCAGGAGAGGCCAGGTGTCAGGGTCAAAATATGACGAGGGTAGTTCATGTTCTGTTTCATGTAACTGCATACCTGATTGCACCTCTCTGCCAGACTTTCTAGGCCTGAAGGAATTGATGCTGTCAACTCCAAAACTTGGAATTTAGCAATTTGTATTTAGGTCAAAAGACCTGTAAGCAATAGGTAATTGGAGGGGAAGGGAGAGAGCACACGTAGGTGGGTGTTCTTGCACGTAGGTAGTAACCTCAGGATTACAGTGAAACCCAAACTAGCTGTGTTAGTGCTATGAGGAGAGAACTCCCACTGCAGGCATCTGTATGCAGCCCCATGGTTGTAAACAACTGTTCTTTGTTTTCCCACAGACCCTATTTTGAACTCAAGGCAAAGTACTACGTCCAGCTGGAGGTACGTACGTCATCCAGATCCATCTGAAACTCTTATTGCTTACAGTAAATACTGACATTACATCTGAAGTGCTCCGACAACTATGGTGCGTTTCTCTACAAAACCAATTCAATTCAAAACCTCCCGAGCAATTTGCTAAACATGTTTAAAGATAAAAAACTAAGAGAGGCTTTGTTTCCCATTCCTCTCCTGGGATGCAAGGAACGTCCCACCCCTTTTTTGAGAGCCCTTCCCCGGGCTGCCTAAGATGCAGCAGCTCTTTGTAAACCTCTGAGACTTTGTCATGTGCCTTTTCCTTGCCAGGATCCAGACTTGGGTTGCCTTCTGCTTCTCTGTCATGCTTGCCTGTCCAGGGGAATTTTCACCCTCATCCACCTGGGGTGCCAGCCCAATAGTCCTTGAGGATAGTATTCTGAGGAATACCCTTTTCTCCGTGGGCAAAGGCCTGCTGTTTGGGGGCCTAAGGCTCCTCCATGACAGCCGTTCAAAGCCCTCCTGAAGCTGGGCAATTGTGTGAAGTAGAATACAAAAACCAGCATAGATTGCTTGTGATTGATTGCTTCCAGAAGCAGTCCCAGCCCTGGTTCTCATGGTTGGTCTTGCTGCAGTCTTTTTCACAAGTGCCACTGCTTGTGCTGGGGTGCTGTTGAATTATGAGCTCTCCCACCGCTAGACACCAGCCCTGGTTTGTGGTAGCATGGCCGTGCAGAGACGGGTCTCATGGACACCACAGAGAACTGCACACTGTGCATTATTCACAATGAACGCACACCTAGTACCTGTCTTCCTTGTTAGCAACTGAAGAAAACAGTGGATGACCTGCAGGCAAAACTGGCCCTGGCAAAGGGAGAGTATAAGACTGCCTTGAAAAACCTGGAGATGATCTCAGATGAGATTCATGAGAGGAGACGGTCCACTGCCATGGGGCCCCGAGGATGTGGCGTGGGTGCCGAGGGGAGCAACGCCTCTGTGGAAGACCTGTCAGCAACGAAACCGGAGTCAGACACCATCTCCAGTGAGTACGGAGCGCTCCCGTGCCTAGGAGTACATGAGCTGTGGTCAGCAGCACCCAACGGCGTCACGCCTGCACAGGAGGGCTGGAAGGACCAGCTCCTTCCTGCTCTAGGACCTGTTGCCCATACATGATCTCAGCAGAGCGCGTGCTGCGAGCTGGGAGTGAAGCAGCAGTGGTAGGCTAGTGTAGTGTACTGAGGCTCCTGCGTCCCTCCTGGGTGACAGCAGCAACCGTTGAGCAGCAACTGCAAGCCTAGGCGACCTCTGCTTTCTGCTGGCACCTGGGGAGCATGGGCTTCAAAGGCTCAAGCCGTCTGTGCTCTTGCGAGTTTGCTTTTGTCCTGACTCTGGGTGAAAGCTAATTTGGCCCTCCTGGCCACTGCTGAGGCTGCAGACAAGGACGGGCTCTTCCCTGTCTTGGAATTCCACAGTCTAGTGCTGGAACTGAGTTACAACAGAGCAGGGCCAGCAGCCTGCCAGGTGTAGTAACCAAAATAGCCTGGGCAGGTTAAACGCCCATGTGTTGTAACGTGGTGGGGGATTTCTGCCATGCAGAAGGCCATTTTACATCTTGATTTCTGTCTGCTGGAGATGAATAAAAAACCTCATCATCAGCAAGAGTATTTTGGCCATAGCAGATGCTCCTGTGTGGTATGGTGAGTTTGGATAGTGATAAATAAGATGCAGTTTGACTTGTGCTTGTTTTAGACTAGCTGGAGCCAGAGCTTCTGGCCAAGCACAGGGCTCCTCTAACTGGAAACATCTATTCTGCCCAACCTTTTTTAGCTTTCACCTGCTGCATAGTTACCTGCATTGCTCACCGTATAATGATAAAACACAGCAAGTGAGGAGAAAGGCCACTCTGCAGTCTTGGACTTGATATTGTTAAAACCACAAGACCACAACAACCTGTTTCTGAGCACCAGGTTTCCCAGAGGGTGCAGGAAGGTGGATAATGCTGTTGCCTGCTTTATGTTTGAAACTGACCTTTTGGGTCAGTTCTGCAATCTGCACACACAGCAGGCAGAGGCTGAACACTCTCCCTGTGGTAACTGCGACGGGGACCTGCCTCCGTCTGCACCCTTTGTGTCTGAGCGGTGCACGCCAGCCATAGGCTGAGAGGAGAACTACTTTGAAACTTCTCCTTTGAGCCGTTTCGTTAGCACTACTGCTTTGTGCCTGCTGCTCTTGCAGGGCTGTTCTGAGCCTCTCTAACAACAGCACCTCGCAAGGAGGTGTGATTGAGGATAACCTGAGGTCACTGTAAAGGTCTTGCTATTTGTGGGACGTCTTCAGACCAGTGTGATTCCAGCACATGCTTTTGTGGTGTAGAGGCTGATGCACTTGGGAAACCTTCTGATCCCAGTGCGAATACTTGTATGCAGAAGTCTTTGGTTTGTAGGTCCCCATCCTGCAATAAGCCATGGCTGAAAAATGTTGAATTTTAGCAAAATCTACACCCCTGTGTTGCACAAAATGGAACCTTCTTTAATGGATTCTTCCTCCTGTTGCTAGCAAAGAGCCTGCAGCTCAATCCAGCGAGACAGTTTGCAGTTGGTTTGCTTTAATTAGAATTCAGATCTGAGTGAACATGAGCAGGGACTATTATATATGTGGGTGGGGCATTTTTTAATTTGATGTTGCTTGGTGATCCTCATCCAAAAAGAGATGTTAGGAATTCATGCTGGGTTTTAACTGTGAAAGTGGGAAGATAAGGTGGAAGCAATCTGCTTTCTAGTGAGTGCCTTAAATGACTGGGAGTCTGTGCTGGCACCACGATGCTGCTGGCTACGGCAGGCACAGGGGAATGAAGCCAAGTGACCAAGGTGCCAGCTGGGCAGGGGGCAGCAGGAACAGTAAAAATCCAAGAGCATTGTGGCCTGAGGAGCAGCAGGTGGGGTAGAGCTGCTCTTGCAGGGTGTGGCTGGCAGGTCGCTGTTCCTCAAAGCGGAATCCAGCCTTTGTGCTGCAGAACGCCGGGTTAAGGCTTTGCAGAGGGGACAGGGCAGAAGAAGAGCAGCCCGTGCGCAGAAGATGCAGACCTGAGACACAGCCCTTGCCAGGGAGGTGCAGGAGGGGGGAGGTTTGCTAACCAGAACGTTATTTGAACGTTGCAGTGGCTTCAGAAGTGTTTGAGGATGACAACGGCAGCAGCTTCGTATCCGAAGATTCGGAAACTCAGTCGGTGTCCAGCTTCAGCTCTGGTCCTACGAGCCCCTGTGAGGTGCCCGCTCAGTTCCCTCCTGCGGCGCGACCGGGGAGCCTGGACCTGCCCAGCCCGGTGTCCCTCTCCGAGTTCGGGGCGATCTTCCCCGTGCTGGGCCCCCGCAGCGAGTGCAGCGGGGCCTCCTCCCCCGAGTGCGAAGCCGAGAGAGGTACGTGCAGCAGGGTGCGCCCTGGGCCGAGCCGACTCAGCCCCATCGCGGGGGAGACCGTCCCAGCTCCCCTCGGCCTGCTGCCGGCTCTCGGCCCTGGCCCGCTGGCCACGCCCCTGGGGAAGGCGGTTCTGAGATGCCTGCGTCCCACTGCTAATGGGGACGTCTGAAGTGTGTGAATAATTCTTCTGGCTGGGAAGGTTCCCCAGGTCTGCCTCTGTGGAAGGGTTCAAGGTTTCTCATGAAACAAGTGGCCAGGGGGATTCTGATGGTATGTTTACTTTAAGGAGAATCCACATCTAATTTTTTTTTTTTTTTTTTTTTATTACTGTCCTGTGCTGAAAAAAGAAAGGTGCCAAAAGGAACCTCTTGCAGGCTCTGGTGGCCCTTGCTGAGAAATCCCTTCCAACTGGAGGACTGCCATTACCACTGCTCCCCTCTGCCCCCGGCTGCTCACGCTGTCCCTGGCTGATGCAGTGCACAGGACAGGCACAGCTCAGGAAGCATCTTGCTCCTGCTCCTGTATTTTTTGCGTGCTTGGGCAAAGGCAGCTACGGAGGCACCCGCTTGAAGCTTAAGTTGCAGAATGAAACCCAGGTTTAACATATAGTTTAATCCTTTCTTTGCAGGGGATAGGGCAGAAGGAGCTGAGAACAAGACAAGCGACAGAGTGAACAAGAATAGAAGCAGCAACAGGAGCAGCTCTGCAGAAGGGCTGGCTTTGGATAACCGGATGAAGCAGCTCTCCCTTCAGTGCATGAAAATCAAAGAGGGAATATGCGCGGGCAGGAAAGCTGCCCAGATTGGCTGAATCCTCCTTGTGCCCTGTCCTGATTGATGGGAGTATAAATATTTACACATGAACTTCTAAATGTTTTGAAGAACATTGTGCCAATAATATATGCCAAATCTTAAGCGTTTACTCTAAGAATTTTAAACTGCACTAAGAAGTCTAATTGATCTGGAAGGCTGAAGTTTTTATTCAGTAAATCCTTTGTAGGCTGGACAAGTTATCAAATGTTTAAGCCGTGCTCATGTTTCACAGACTTTGTAAATTGTTTTGTAGCAGCCTGGCTGAAGCAATAACTCGTAATGTTCCCGTGTAAATTCATGCCAGTGGGGGGGGTCTGAAATTCAAGCCAGACATTTGTAGGGAGCAGTTTGGCTTCAGTTTTGTAGAATGAAATGCTCTTTAGATACAGTGAATCTCTTGAGTATGTGGCATATTCTTTAAACATCTGTATTTGTCTGTATTATGCTGAAACTCTAGAAATATTTTGTATACAGGAAAGGCGTTGCATGTGTGGGGTCTGAAAACCTTTACTCTTCCTTTGGTGCTCACAGAAACGACAAAGAGGAGTCACACCTATAAAAACTGATGTTGAGAGACAGACGGACAGACAGGGCCTGGTGAGACGGACACTCAGCGGTGGGGGGCCCTTTCCAGCCACCTCCCAAGTCTGGCTGGGACTCCGAGGGTGATTCCAGTGACCAGAAAGAGTTGATTGGCCCCTTGTCCTTGCCTTCCTTCTCCTCCCCTCCCCTGAGAAGTGTGATTTTTCAGCACTTTAAGTGTGGGTTTGTTTTTTTTTTTCCCTTGAAAAGGGGGAGTCATAGATGTTTTCAGGACAGTTATAAGGGATCTACCCTTAACATGTGCATGAAGAAAAGGAATTGCCAGTGTAGATTGACAATGTGTTCTTAAGCTTCTCCGTAGGTTGTACTGTGTGGGATTTATAACTGTTACAGGGACTCGGGGTTTTAGTGTGCCCTAGAGGAAGTGTTCAGTAAAACTAGAAAGGGCATGGGAGTGTTTTGCCAGCAGCTGTTAGGCAGTAGTAGTGTCTTCTAATTATGCTAATAAGTGGTAGTAAATAATCCTAGGACTCTTCGGTTTTGGTGGCTAAGCATTTCTGAAAGCACCATTTTATCTACTGTGCCAGTTTATATTGTTAATTTGATGGGAATTTTAGTACTGCCCCCAAAGTATTTTCTATTCTATGTTTTTGCAGTCCTGTTGTATTTTGTCCCTGCCACAGCTTGTGTATCTATTCTCAAAGTTAGTGTAAAATTCTTCACACTACAGTAAACACTTCTGTTTTCCACATCTCATTTTGTGTCTGTGCAAGCTCAGTGCATCTCAAGCACTAAACTGAATCTTCTCCTGCAGCAAGAGTAGTCTTTAAATACCCACTTCCAGCTGAAGACTGCGGCCTGATGTCACTCTTGCTGGTGTTGGATTCCTCTGCAGTGTGTGGACAACTGTTGCCTCCTTCCAGCTTCCCGAATACCTGCATGTGTGGCTGTTTTTATTCTGAACAGTGCAAGATCAGAGCTGTAGTCATTTTCAAAAATCCCTTAGTATGCAGAAAAGAGGAAGGTGTCCTGTTACTTAACACCTCCGTACTCAGTGCTGCTGAAATTCACTGTGAGGCCATGCCCACAACTGGAGGTAAGGAAACCTGTTCTCAGAAAAATTAGAGCCCACACATTAGAGCTGTTAAGCTGTAATAGTTTTAAATATTTGCACATTTACATCCTCAGAAGACCTGAAGGCTGAACTCTGTCATTACTGGCATTTCCCAGCCCAGTCAGTGCTGAGGAAAGCAGTCTGTGGTTCCAGCTTCTGTGGCTGTTCCCTGGGTAAAAGCTGGGACTGACAGTATCAAATACGAAATGGAGAGCAATACAGTGTAAAAGTGCCACATGGTATTAGATGTTTTTACTTAAACTGCTGTACTTAAGCTAATGTCCGTGCTGCATACAGTTAGAAAAATTAGCAGACGTAGTTGTGGTTGTATATCTAATTTCTGCAGATGTGCCAGTCAACCCCTACTAGGCCTTCCTGGGTTGTCTGGTATTTGCAGGTGGGGTGGGTGCGGGTGGCTGTGTTTTAATCTCTCTTGCTATCAAATTTCTTGTTATCTTGCTGGTGCTGACTGGAAACCCAGACTCCCTGCACTTGGGCAATTAATTTCAGCAGGATAGCAAACCAGTTGTGTGCGCTGCCTTGCACGTGTCCCCATGGTGTTCAGCTCCCAGAAGGGTACAGCCATCGGTCAGGGACTACGAAAGGCCATGGGACCCACCACACCTTCACTTTCACACCATGCTTCTGCAGGATTTGAGGATTTTACTGCAGCTTTCTTCCTGTGGTGACCCCCAGACGTGGCAGGTAAATCATCCTTCAACTGTGCAAACACACAGGCAGAATTGCATGTCTAATAAATTAATGGAAAACTCATTTTATTTTAAACTTTGTAAAAGCCATAATTATAAATATGACAAATTTAAATGACCACACATCACTGAGGAGCACAGGCAAATGAACAGGCTTTCTCCAGTCACTTTGCTGTTGGAGCTCTCTATATTCTGAAGAGTAATATGACAGTAGCTGCCTTCATGGGTATAAAAATAAGCCTCTAGTGTATCAAAGTGTATGTATGTGACCACTTCAGGGGCCCTGAAGTGAGGATGCATAAAGCAAATGTTAATCAAGAATTCTACTTCTCTTTGGTATTATCAAACAATTTAAACATCCTTTTCTTGACTAAGTAAGTGATGAAAACCCCTATTAAACACAAACTTAATTGTACACAGTGGGCTGTTCAAACTGAACACAGGCTGTGGTCACGTGGACCACTACGGTGCAGAAGAGTTCCATGGGGTGTGCCCTGGGAACAAGGCCTGGACCCCAGACTGAGGGGGCAGGAGCTGTCGGTCCCACCTCCCTGAGCCTTTGGGAATCAGGGGATTGGACTCGCCTGTGCCTGCCTACAGTGTCCCGCCCTGAGCTAGGAGCAGTAGTGTTACAGGGACTTCTGCAGAGCTCTGAAGGAGGATTTAAAAAAAAAAAAATACACAGAAGAGGCTTTACAATGTCTAAGTAAGGAGAATGTCAAAACTTCCAAATAGGCTACTTCCAGTTATCCCACTGATTGAGAATTAAAAATCAGCTATTTTAAAATTACCTTCCCTTAGTGAACGGAGGAATGCAGGATGCTCGCTGGCATATTTTATGAGGCTTTATATTTTAATGTTTAAAAGCTTGAATTGCATGTTCACAGGCAGGGAAGACTTAAAGGACAAGCATGACTAAGTGGAAGTGCAGCAACAGGCCTGACATGCCTTTGTTACAGTCTGAGCTGTTGTTGCATGTGCTGACCTTACTCCTTTCTAGAAGTCTTGCTGTGTGATGTTTCCATGCTCCTATCAACAGCTGTTTTGTCACGTGGATAAAAAAAATGCTAAATGGTATAGGGGGAGAAAAACTTAACCTAGATACTGGCCTGAGACTGTTAAAAATCTACAGCTCAGTTCACTTTCCAGTAACTTTTTCAGAGTGATTTGTGGGGGGAAGAAAGCCTTCAGTCCTGCTGTCTGAGCTTAGTACTGTCAGGGTACTGACACTGAGACTGACTACGGCCCCCTTCACAGGTGATAAAATGCATGCAGGACTCTGTTGCCACTGGTTTAGCCCAAGCTAAGCACTTAACACAAAGTATGAAATGAAGCAAAGGGATGCTGTACTGCTCATAGCAGCCTTCTGTGGGGACGATTTTAGCCCACAGGTATTTCTGAAATAAAAGCTCTCAAGGTACATGTAATGTGAGTGAAGCCCGTGCTTTGCTTTCAGAAAAAGGCTGAAGCCAGACCCTTCCCTGTACCCACAGGGCAGACGAGCTGAGCATGTCAGTCTCCTGAATACTACACACCCAGCAGCAGTAAATGTACATTTAGATGTGAGAACATTTTCAATGCTGAGAACACTCGAGAGCAGCACAAATATGTAGGAAAAGCTAATTGGTCCTGAGACTGAATAAGCGCAGAATATGCAAGAGTCATTCCTCGTACATGTTTACTTTGAAGAGTAAAATCTTAAACCCATATACCCTGTATTTTGGGAGAAGAGAATTTCAGTGTTAGTTTTCCCCTTAACTCACTAGACTTTGATTTGAAGCGTGGAAAAACTACGATAACTAGAGTTCTGTCTGTTCATTTGAATAGAAGTGTTTTAGCCTGTCCGGGAGCCTGTTGGACAGCACTCACTCCAACACTGCAGCAGCAAACCCTGCAGCAACTCTCCACCACAATTAACTGGCCAGTTGGCAACACTGGGCTTTTGGCTATAACTTAGACTGGAATTTTCTTTTATGCACCTGTGGCAAGAGTTATTCACCCGTTCTCAGACCGTAGGACAGACGAAAGCCGCCTCCTTAAGCAGTACTGCACAGATCTGTCTCCTCACTGCAGCTGTGACACCTTCAGAGGAGCAGTACTGTTAAAATCTAAGAAAAAAGGACCCTCTTGTTGAGGCAGGAACGTGGTGGGGATAATGTTGTAAACTCCAGCAAAAATGTTTTCCACTTCCAAGTAGCAAAATCCACACCTGCAATAAAGAAACTCCTTGTTAGAACTAAGATCTGAACTATATTTCAAACTTCTAAGACTTCATTAAGAATTAATTACCTGTAGTCACCACTGCTCTTCTTCTGAAAGCCATGGGAGCCAGGGTCTCCTACGGTTGAGACTGTGATGAGCTCAAAGCCAACGCTGTACTGCCTGCAAGTGACACAACAGGCTGCCATGAAGAGGGCCACTGATTAAAAACTACACAGTATAACTGGAAGGCATCTAAGAGTTTTGTCACATTTGTGACAGAAGCGTTATGTCAAAAGTTACCATGACGTGGATGTACCATCAGAGGTAGTTTGTCTACTACCTGTTAACAGGGTAACCTCTCGAACCTCATCTCATGGATTTTGAGGGCGCCTCCCCTGTCCCCACAGAGGACACCAGTGAAGCTGTACCTGTAGCACAACACTCTACCAACCTTGGTCCCCGCAGTTCAATTAACAACGGCCCATTCTTGTCCAGCTGGAACTGATAAATGGGGTTATTTTTGTAGGTGTCTCTGAAA